CACAACAAGTGATATTAGAGCCTAGGTGTAAGACAGTAAGTAGCTATTTGTATGGTTATATGCATGTCTAGGAAAATTCTGTCAATAAGATGATAAGAGTTTAAGGAGACTGGATTTTAAGTGGGATTGTTTGTGACTCCTCCAATGTCTCCTGGGAATTTTCCTGATGCATATTGAATCATTTTTAGTACTTACTACTAGCTTGGGTTATTGTTAATTTGTTGGTTAGTTATTGAATATAATAATTTGCGGAGCTTGGTTATTGGGGACTTTGTCTACCAAGCTAATTGAGTAAGGCACAAATGACATCATTGTCCGAGGACTCATCATCCAAGGCATCACCGTCTGCACCAGTAAAATGATGACGGTTACTGATGCAAAAATTGATGTTGGAAAGTTTAAAAGGGAGAAATTTGTTGCGTCAAATTCCTTTAGTATGTGAAAGTGTGAAGTTGAAGATGTCCTATTGATGTCTTATACCAACAGGAATGACAGGCTGTCATTGAGGAAGAGAAACCAATTGATATGAGCGATGTTGAATGGGAAATGATCAATCGTTAGACATGTGGGATAATTCGTTTGTGTCTCACTTAGGAGACGTTTCCATGGAAACTTTGGTAGAGTTTGGAGGAAAAGCATTTGGTGAAGAGTACTGAAAATGTACTTTATTTGAAGTAGCAGCTTTTTCGATTTGATTGTCGACTAGGTATGTCCATGAATGACCATACCAATGCTTTCAATGCGATGTTATGTTCCTATTGAATATGAGCACTTAACCACCACTTTGATTCATAGGAAAGATAAAGTGTCTTATGAATCTGTTTGTAATGCCTTTTTCAAATGTTTGTGTGGCTGAAATTGAGGAAAATGAGTAAGATTTTGTTTTGATTTGTTTCTTTTGTATCTCACTTTGAGAGTGGATTATGGACTCTGGTTGCACCTATCATATGGGTTTTCTAGCGTTAAGGAACTGGCCGGGGAACAAGTTTTTATGGGCAATGATAATGCTTGTAAAATAATAGGGATGGGTATAATCCATTTGAAATTCTTGATGGATCAATTAGAGTTCTGACAAATGATATCTTCTATTTTTAAAGAAGAATATCAACTTATTAGAAGTCCTTGAGTCTAAAGGACTTAAGTGTTAATATGTGAGATGGTACCCTTAAAGTTGTATCAAACCACTTGTGGTGAGGAAAGGTGTCAGAAGAAACAATAAGTTGTACTATTTTCAATTAGGTACAATTATTAGATTAGCAGCTACAGTCTCTTACAAGGATGTTGATTCAGAAGGAACTAGATTATGATATATGTGTTTGGGACATGTGGGAGAGAAACCATTTCAAGGGTTGGTGAAGTAAGGTTTGTCGAAAATCCTGTAAATTAGAATTTGTGATCATGGTGTTCTGGGAAAGCAGACAAGAGTGAGGTTTTGGAAATGTTCTTGATATGGAAGAAGATGATTGAGGCTCTGGGAGAAGATGTTGTTTTTCTATACTGGAGAAAGTTCGATGTTGTTGTCCAATTTTTGGGTTGGGTAAAGAGATTTGGGCTAAGGCAGTTGCATATGTGTGTCATCTCATTAATCATCTACTGTTAGCTACAATTAAAGGCAAGACTTTGGTTGAGGCATGGTCTGGAAAACCTATTTTTGATTATGACTCTTTACATGTTGTTGGTTCCATTGCTTATTATCATGTGAAAGAGTCTAAGTTAGATCCTAAAGCAAAGAAAGCATTATTCATAGGGATTACCTCAGGCGTGAAAGGATACCGTCTTTGGTGTCCATATTCGAAGAAAATACTGTTTAGTAGGGATGTGACATTTGATGAGTCTTCTATGTTAGAGAAGAAAATAAGAAGCCAGATGAAGGTTAACTTTACTCTATAGTAGGTGAAACATACTCTGCAGTAGGTGGAGTTTGAAACAACAGTTGAACCAGATAGTGTCCACGAGGCAAAAAGTGATTATGAGGTGACTAATATGGATACTATAGATGAATAGGAGATTTTACCCCAAGAATCTCCACAGCAACAAGAATCGATTGCATACAATAGGCCAAGACGAGAAATTCGCAAGCCTACTCGTTTTGTTGATCTGGTGACTTTTGCACTTTCAATCGTAGGTGATGATATTCCTACTACTTATAAAGAAGTAGTTAAGAGTTCAAATTGTGAATTATGGAAACCGACCATGAAAGATCCCTACATAAGAAGGCGATTTGGTGCAAATGGGTGTATGCAAAGAAGAAGGGATTTCCTAATAAAGAAGATGTTCAACACAAGGTTAGGTTGATAATAAAGGGATACACTCAAATGGAAGGTTTTGATTACGGTGAAGTGTTTTCTCCAGTAGTGAAGTATTCTTCCATTATGATTTTGCTAACCTTGATGGCATAGTTTGATTTTGAACTAGTTCAGTTGGATGTGAAAATCGCAGTTTCACATGGTAGTTTGGAAGAGGAAATCTACAAGACTCAACTAGATGATTACAGGGTTGCTAGAAAGGAAAATTGGGTTTGCAAATTGAAGAAATTGCTATATGGATTGAAGTAGTCACCAAGACAGTGGTATAAGCGATTTGATCAATATATGATAGGCCATGGGTAAATAAGGCATGATATTTCACAAGCAGTTAGTATGGTGAGCAGGCATATGCATGATCCAGATAAAGGATATTGGCAAGTTGTGAAATGGTTTCTACGATATATTTGAGGTACTGTAGATATTGGTTTGGTTTTGAGCGGGGTAATGATCTTAGTCAGTTTGTTATTGGTTTTGTATGATTATGATTATGTCGGTGATTTGGATAAGCGTCATTCAACTACTGGTTATTTGTTTATAGTTGCTAAATGACCAGTGAGTAGGAAGTCTACTCTACAGTCTACAGTTGCTCTGTCAACCACAGAAGTAGAGTACATGGCAATTCCAAAGGCTGCAAAAGAGGGAATTTGGCTTCAAGGGTTGCTTGATAACTTGGGAATTGTTTTTAAACACATTAGTGTGTATTGTGATAGTCAGAGTGCTATTCATTTAGCCAAGAACCAAGATTATCATGCATGCTCAAAACACATCGATGGTCGGTTTCACTTTGTGCAGGATTATATTGAAAACGGAGATCGTTCTTCAAAAGATTGGAACGGAAGATAAATCCTGCAAATATGTTGACTAAAGTAGTGACAACGGTCAAGTTCACTCATTGTTTGAGCTTAATCAACATCTTGCAAGTTTGATTGCGCCATTTAACGCATTTGAAGGTGCTGCAAAATTTGTCAAAAGAATATATGAAACTGTTTGAAAGATAATATCATCAAGGTGGAGTAGAATTGTGTTTTTCGCCAAGGTGGAGATTGTTGTAAAATTGGCTCAAACACTTAAAATAGTGGTTTGTGCTTATATCCCACATTGCTTAGTTAACAAAAGGCTAAGGCTTTTGTTAGCTATATATAGGGATGTTAGGCTTTGGTTTGAGTATCCAAATCCATTTGTGGATCCCCACATGTTTGGGAGTTTGTATTTGAGAGTTTCCCTTTGTTTTGGGTAAATTGGTTCTGTACCCATATAGTTTGGGTACTTGTTGTATTGCCCAAATGTTTGTAATGTTCTTCTTTGGAGATAGTGGAGATTCTTTTACAATGCTCGAAGACATAGGTTATAATACCGAATCTCGTTAGTTCCTGGTATTCTTTATTTTTACATTTATTTTGGTCATTTATTTCTGCTTTACTAGTTGTTATTATTATATTCAATAATTAATGTTAGAGTTTGTGTTTCTGCTACACAACACCATTGTGCTGTTGTTCTTAGAAGTGATAAAACGAACACTAGAACAATTAATACTTGGTTGTTTTGAAACTAGCTACAATGGCTATATATTTACACAAGTATATGCTAAATTTAGGGGCCTTTCTTGATGATATCTGGCTGTATCTAATTTTGTGGACGTTGTGAGTTCTTTTATTCAAGTAGGTTATTCAAAATGTGTTGGCTGTCAAATTAAGTTAGAAAAGAAATTTTAGTCTTAATTGGAGAGTGAAATCTTGCTGCCTGTGATAATCAATTCTGTTAACAAAACTAATTTTGATCTTAATTAGAGTTTCGGCAATTTAGTTATATTGAAAATGGCATCATAGACCTCTGATAAGTAACTGAAAAAGTTGAACGTTAGCTAGTTTACATGAATAATGATTGTGTGGTTAATTTATTGAGTATGGATAGAAGACTAAAGTTAGCACCATGACTAAAAAGGAGACCATCAAAATTACAAAAAACCCTTTGATGATTAGATGAGTACAAGTAAAATATTGTCGTTACAATATCATTATACGTCAAGTTTTATGTAACTGCTTGTGAGGCAAATTTTTGTACCATTAAAGAACTTATATGTGAGGTTAACAGCGAAAATAATAACAGAATGAATATTAGTGCAACTAATAGAGAATATTAGTGCAACTAATAGAGAATAATAATGGCATATAATTAACTTCATGACAAGTATAAAATTAATATAATTGATGGAGTACTAAATTTCGGGACAATTCTCAAACCTAGAATCCTCCAGACAGCCAAGTCTCATGCACTCTCAAATTATTTTTCATCATTCTACTATTTGAAGTAAACCGCGCGATATTCAGCTTGAGCATCAAGATGATAAGTAGTGATAATGTTTAACAATAAAAATTAGCTCACATCTCAATCTTATAAACATTTTCTCACAACTTCGACAAGGTAACTAGTAATTGATCAGCTTGCAATTAGACATATAAGACATATTATCAGTGTTCATGTCAGGATTGTGAGATAAAGTTTATGAGATTAAACTGTAAGTATAGTATTGCCTAATGTTTAATTATTACTTCCCGAATTGTAGAATTGAATTGTTCTGTTGCCCAAAGGTTGCAAAGGCCTTGCATTGCTCTTGCAATCTAAGGCCAATGGAGCTCTCAAAGCCTTTACCTGCTTTTTTGAAATCGATCTGATCTGCATATTTTATTAGGCTAGTTAGAATACACTTGAATTTCTATATATCTGAAACTTTTTAGATGCAGACGTTATGATTTCAGGAAACTGCAGGAAAAAAAAAAAGGCTAGCAGTTTCATAAGACAAGAAAATTTGGTTCAGCTTTTAAGAACATTAAAACATTCATAGAAGAGAATGAATGCATATACATAAAAAAAAATTAGTTAAGTACCTCGGGAAGGACACTCCAGAGGACGGCTTCAGTACATGGAGGGGTAGTGAGAGAACCCCTGTATCTGTAATATCTTTGTGTGTTTTGCCTCAAGTATTTGGTATCCAACTTTCCAATTGGAATCTTATTTCCTTTAGTGTTTGGGCCAGCTAGCTTATTCAAGTATGGTTTTATCTGTAATTAATTATAAAACCTTAAGATAATAATAATAATAATAATAATAATAATAAAAAACCTCGTCTATGTCTGCCGAATTCTTTGAATTCAGAGTTACTTTCTGGTTACTTGAATTTCTTTCCTTCAAGAATGGAGACTGTTCAAAATAATGCATACAATGAAGCCACTAATTTCATGATCACAGAGGTGTTATTTAAGCCAATCAAACATATTCTATTTTATTTAAAAAATAAGCTTCATTAATCACTCCATTGCATTAGATTTCATTCTATATTACTGCATGAATTTGTATGTTTGCAAAATTCTGTCAGTTCCTTTAAGCTTTGAGTATTTTCTTTCACTTTCTCATAATTTATAAACGGGTAATTTAGTTCATTTATCTTAAGATTTAGCAATTTTTATAAAGATAAATGTGATGGGAAGTGTACCTCTTGGATTAATGGATCTTGGCGACCATAATTGAAAATACTTGCTACTACAGCAACGCTACCGTCATCTGCCTCATGGACTACATGAAGCGCAGCAGGGTATCTGTAATTTTTTAAACTTGTTAACAGTAGCAACTACATTTTAAAGAATCATTCATATTTAATTACTTTGATTAGCATAATTCTGGAAAATATATCATAATTATTTTCTTAAACAGGTTTTAACTTGAGCATGTGTAAAATTGTAATATGTAGTTAATAAAAAGAAAATTATTCGTCTTTGTCATTTTGTTCCTTTGCTTGTTCTTCTCCTTTTGTCTCCTATCTTTCGCGTGTTTAAGATAGACAAACAAGAAAAAATTAGATTCTCAATCTATTAGGCTTGTGTTTTTGTTTTTATCCCTGGACCTGTTTTGAGGTAAGATGGTCAGTTTTTTTTATGATCTCTCTGTACGTTCTTTCTTTCTTTTAATGATACTGCTTACTTAAAAAAAAAAAAAAAAAAAAAAATGATGCAGAATTTTCTTAGTTATTGGTATAAAAGAATAGAACATACATTTTTCCATCAATTTGGTGTTCTGCAGGAGTATGCCAGTGGATTTGTTTTAAGCTGTATTTTTTACCTTCTGTCCACAAATCTCCAACATATCCCTCAAAATGCACCTGCATGCATACATGAAAGTTCAGTTTAACACGGGCAAATGTTACGTTATTGAGACAAAATTCATGCATTATGCTATTTGAATGCGTGAAAAAGTACATTAGATTTGCAACTTCTGGATATCCACATTAAAAAATGACTATATATCGATGATCATAATTAAACATGAGATTTTGGACCTCGCCAGATGCAGATTAAAAAAGGGCTGTGGAGGTTTAGGAGCGAACCCCAATAACGGAGCCTGAATTGATGATTGTAGCATCTGCAGCACCGCTATAATTCGTGTATAAGGGTCCTAAAGTTTTGTTGAGGAGGGCTTGACTGGTTATTATGTTCACTGGAGATTGGTGATTCCCTGATTCGCATGCTTGGAAAGATGGACTCAATTTTCCCCAGTGTTTTGTGCCATTTAACTCTCCATTGTAACTAAACGGAACTGCATTATGCGCTGCAAGTAACAAAATGAATTATACAATTAAAACACTTGCAATAGAAATGGTATCTAAAGAACTAAAAATTCTTAAGCATTGATCCAAATTTTGACCAAAAAAATAACTATATAATGAACTCCTGAGTCCTGAGAAAAAAAAATGTTAAAAAAAAACATTAAAAATAGATATAAAAGTCGTGGCATTAAGAAGATTATACCGTCATCAAGAGTTGCAAAAGCAACACCTAGGAGCAACGCAATTGCTAAAATTGAAGTGCAGAATTGAGGATTCATTGAATTGTTTATTCTTAGTCTAGCCAAGAAATAAATTATTCCTCCACAGAGAACAAACAAGAATAATTGATGCTACAATTGATGGCTATATATATATATATATATATATCCAAGTATCTGCTAAATTTAGCTACATTTTTCTGAGGCCACATTATGTTAAAACAAAATTTGATCTTAATTGGAGAGTCAAATCTTGTTGCGTACTAATATTGAACTTTAACTATCAATAGGCATTGAATTTTAATCTATTTTAGAAAATGACCTCAAAAACTGAAATAGTCGTCCTATAATCTAACCAATTTACATTGAATCACATGATTGTTTAATGGTTAGAAGACAAGCATTATCCATCAATAATCTATAACATCAAAATTAATTACAAAAACAGTATGATGTTCCAATGAATACACAAGAATTAACTAATTAATGTATGTATAACAAGATTAACTTATGAAATATAAGAGTAAATTATAATTTACTGCTAAAAGCAAATATAGGAAGCTCACATAATGGTGCATTAATATATAACATATTCATAGAGAATGGAAATTAAATTATGGCATACATATATAATTAGACTAGCAAGAAATTATTTTAGGACCTTCTCATTAGGATTCATCAAACTCTTACGGTTAGGGTAACTTAATTGCATATCTGAGGGTTTACCTTAAAATAAAATGAATTAGGAAGATTAATTGCATATTCATGTAGATGCAGTTGAACCATGTATCACAGAGAAGAAATTGAAGACTATATATAACATTGTTCTGAAACCCAGCCCGGATAGAACGGTTCAACTGGTAGAACTGGGAACAGGAGCCTCCACCAATTCAGTCCGAATATAAACAAGATCTAAGCAATTGACACAGAATGACCTGCAGTAGGAAAGGTTGAATAGTATCGAACCGTCGGTCTGACCGGCCCGAGGCCCAAACCGGGTCACCAAATTTACATACCCGGTTTAAAGAAAGGTATAAAGAATGTTGTTCACGTCTATTTTAAAAAAGATGCAAGGAAGACGTAAAATCATTAAAATATTCATCCTATTACTTTTCACTATTAGCCTCACAAGCACTTACAAAAATCTTTAAGAAACAAACATAAAGGCTCCGTTTGGTTCACAATTTTGTGTTTTTGGGAAAAGTTTTTTGAAAAAAGTTAAAAAAAAGTTGAATTAGGCCGGTATTACGATGTAGGATTTACAAATTATAAAATACCCCCTATGTTTTTTTTTTACAAAATACCCCCTATAATAAAACATTAAAAGTTAATAAAAACACCCCCAACTCACCCTCAAATACGGACAGCCGGCCACCACCGCCGGAGGGTGGTCGGAGTCGCCGTATCGGTGCATGACCGATTGGATCTTGCCGGTCATGCACCGATATGGCCTTTTCCGGCTAGATCCACGGTGGATCTGGCCGGCAAAGGCCAGATCTATGGCTAGATCTGGCCATTGACGGGCAGATCTGGCCGTATTTGCCTGTCAATGACGGCCGTCGTTACTGACTGATTAACGGCCAGATCTTTGGCCTTAGATCTGGCATTTTTCAGCCAGATCTACCGTGAATCTGGCTGGAAAAGGCTAGATCGGCGCACTACCGACCAGATTCAGCCGGTAGTGCGCCATCCTACCAGATTCCGGCCATTTTCCGGCAGTGGTGGCCGGAATCTGATAAATGTGGATTGTTGGGGTGTTTTTATAATTTTTTAAAAAATATTTAGGGGTATTTAATTAAATTAACAAATTCAGGGGGTTTAAAAAAAATTAAAAAATATTGTGAGTTTTTGGGTATTTTACTGTTTAACTTTTTTGAGAATACTAAAAGTTAGTATTCCCAAAATGCAACCAAACGAAGCCAAAGATATTCTAATGACAAAATATTATACTTGTACTCATTGAATGATCAACAAAGGATTTTGTAATTTTGATGGTCTCCATTTATTGTACTCATTTAATCATCAAAGATTTTGTAATTCTAATGATAATATATTGTACTTGTTCATTAAATCAACTCTAATTTCCATAAATTGATGAGTTCGAACATAAACATAAACGAAAAAAAGAAAAGAGTTACGCTATTGTTTTTTGAAATAAATAGGGTGATATTGTCATTTTCCAATGAATGTTTTATGTTAATATATCTGTGAAAATGACACTGTTAACCTTCTGCCATTATTTTCAATGCCTGAAATGGAATTTTGAAGAGATGTTTTTAGTTTTCATAAGTCAAAAGTGATGTTTTCCTTAAACCCATAAATAACGATGGAAAAATATAAATTACATTGACTACATTAAACAAAAAAACAAAAAAACAAAAAAAAACCAAATTAAATAATCTTAATTAACAGAAGCTTCAATTTGATTTTCTTTAAAAGTAGTGGGTGCATTTGTAACCTTCAACGTTTTTGTAACCGTAAATCCTAAACTTAAGCATGCATATGTGGGATATGATCTAAATTTGACGATATATAACACCACTTATATTTGGCTATATGTTTATTGATATTATCAAATATAGCATTTAAATCTATGAATAACTTTGTTTTGAAAAGTAAGAAAGCATCCTTCTAGAAACAAAAACGACCAGTTTATTCAATTGTTTAGGTACTAACTACGTATGACCAATCTTGAATTTTGATCTATATGTATCACCACCACCTGTACTCTAGAAGACTAAGCCAAAAGGTATCTTTCTCTTTATTATTCTCAATTTCTTAATTTCTTAATTTATATGTGTTCCTCCTGAAGCCATACATCAGCATCAAGTTGCTTAACGTTATATACATATATTTTCAACTTGTTAAATTCAATCTCTCATCTAAAAACAAGATATATATCTTTTAGTTGCTTTCAATTAACTCTTCTTTTCCTTCAATTAACAGTTTGTCTTTTGTATTGATTCTGAAAATATGGAGGCTAAAGAGTTGATTAATATTGTTGAAACGGTTCAATCAGAAGGCAGCAGTCATGAGGAATTACAAGATGTTGATGAAGCCGAAGAAACACTCTCTCTATGCGATCTTGCAGCATACTGCAGCCAAGAATCAGAAAATTACAGCTCGATAAACGATGATTACTCCAAAGAACAGAGCTCGTCTGATGAAGATTTCTTCGAGTTCTTTAGTGAAGACTTCACCGCATCAACTTATCCGAAAGACAACATCATGTTCTGTGGAAAACTCATTCGCTACAAAGAACATCCCGTCAGGGAACAAACCCAGATTACAAATAATACCGTTGTCAATAAGAAGAAAAAACTAATAATGAAGAAAAAGCGCATCGTTCCATGGAAATCATTCTCATTCAACAAAGCAAAATCAAGCACCACTTCATCGAAGCAACAACAACAGAGAGAAAAGGGTTACAAGCCACAAAATTACGAGTATAATAATGATTCCAATACAGTATCTCCCATTGCAAATTCAATAAAGTCAAGATGGTATTTGTTGGCATTTGGTTACGGAAGGTTTCCTATAGAAACGGAGTTGAGAGATATAAAGAAAAGACAGAAGCGGAGGAGTAATATTCCCTATGCAACAATGTTTCGATTGGACAATACGGGCGGTGAAAAGATTAAGAGAAGGAATGAAAAGAGATCATCAGGGAGAAGTTTGTGGAGATTGTGGAGAGTGCTTAGGGTTTTGGTGTGTAAAAGTCAGGAAGCAAATAATCTTACTTAGTTGATCCATATGTGACATCTCTATTTGGTTGATACATACGGGGAATGGTATTCGTAATAGTCACACAGATTTGGAGTTGCTGAATTGGACAAGATTCACTATGTAATATGTATACCAGAATCTTTTATGCTATGTACTCCTCTGAATATGGCTCTTCTTTTAAGGAGGCCAAACATGCACTATAAATATAAAAATGTCAATTTACATGTTCTTCATTTTAAAAAAAATAGACGTGAACAATATTATTTAATCTGTATGCCTTTCCACTATTGTATAAGTCTTCAATCTCTTCTATGTGATAAACATGGTTCAAATGAGTACACTCAAATATCCATAACACCATATCTATATTTATCTCAATATATACATATACTGTACATGTATATATCTTTAAATATATATATATGATATACATATACATATATATTTAAAGACGACTAAGAGAGTCGGCTGACAGGAGATAATTTAGCGAGTTAGCAATTTTGAGTATTTAAAAGTGCGAGAGAACTTGATTGTATTGAGGATTATGGGTTTGAGAATTGTCCCGAAAATTATGTCCTCCATCAATTTTATTAATATAAATTTCTTTTATATTTGTTATGTAGTTAAAAGTTGAACCACGTAGCTTATTATTTATTTTGTTCAATAATTAGTATTTTTCATTATTAGAGTATCTCTAAGGATACTTTTTATTTTAAATAACATCTTTTATACAAATAAAGAATTTCATATAAGTAAAGAGCATATCTTTATTAATTTATAAATATAAAGAACAAAATTTTTATTCAAATCCAATGGGTTCTTTAAATTTAACAAAGATGTTCTTTATTTTCAAGAAAGAGACTTAATAGAAGAGAGAATTAATAAATAAAATGCATAAAAACTTGCAGTTTATTAATTAAAATTATAATAGAGGGTGAAATTCGACTATTTAAATGTGGAGAGTCAAACTCACTCTTTAATTTATATTTAAATGATAAATTGTCTGTTAGAGCATCTCCGATGTTGCTCTTTATTTTGAAGGGCATCTTTCATATAAACAAAGACCATCTTCATTAATTTTTAAATATAAAAAACACATTTTTTATTCAAATCCAATAGACTCTTTAAATTTAATGAAGATATTCTTTATTTTTAAGAAATAGACTTCATAGGAGAGAGAATTAATAAATAAAATGCATAGGAACTTATAGTTTATTAATTAAAATTAGGATACAGAATGTAGAGAGTCAAACTCATTCTCTAATTTATATTTTAAAAATAAAAAGTATATTGGACTCTTATTTTTATAGATAGACTCTTTAAAATAAAGAGTTTGGGTCATATAAAAAGTCATTTGGAGATGCTCTTACACTCTTGTTTTTATAGATAGACTCTTTATAATAAAGAGTTCGGATCATATAAAGAGTCATTTGGAGATGCTCTTATTAGATATATTTATAGTGTAAGTTTGACCTCCTTATTTAATTATGTACATGACTTTTTGTGCTCTCATTTAATTAAATGTTAACTAGTTAGGAATTAGGATCCAAAAAACTCATTGTGAAAACATTTTACCAAAACATTAATATGATTGATAATATATTGATTTAACTAAAGAAAATATTCAGAGTACAAAACGTAAAGTAGATAAACGATCCAGGTCTTCACTATGTTCAGCATTCATTTGCTTTCTGACTTTTACACACCAAAACCCTAAGCGCTCTCCACAATCTCCACAAACTACTCCCTGATGATCTCTTTTCATTCCTTCTTTTAATCTTTTCACAGCCCTCGTTGTCCAACCGAAACATTGTTGCATAGGGAATATTATTCCTCCGATTCTGTCTTTTCTTTATATCTTTCAGCTCCAATTCTGTAGGAAACCTTCCGTATCCGAATGCCAACAAATACCATCTTGACTTAATTGGATTTGCAATGGGAGATGCTTTATTGGAATCATCATCATACTTGTAATTTTGTGGGTTGTAACCCTTTTCTCGCCGTTGTTGTTGCTTCGATGAAGTGGTTCTTTGTCTTGCTTTGTTGAATGAGAAAGATTTCCATGGAATGATGCGCTTCTTCTTCATTAGTAGTTTTTTCTTCTTATTGAAAATGGTATTATTTGTGATCTGGGTTTGTTCTCCGTCGGGATGTTCTTTGTAGCGAATGAGTTTTCCACAGAACATGATGTTGTCTTTCGGATAAGTTGATGCGGTGAAGTCTTCACTAGAGAACTCGAAGAAATCTTCATCAGACGAGCTCTGTTCTTTGGAGAAGTCATCATTTATCGAGCTGTAATTTTCTGATTCTTGGCTGCAGTGTGTTGCAAGATCGCATAGAGAGAGTGTTTCTTCTTCTTCAAGATCAAAATCTTGTAACTCCTCGTCACAACTGCCTTCTTGCACTGGTACAACATTATTAATAAACTCTTTAGCCACCATATGTCCAGAATGAATACAAAAGAAAAACTAGTTGTTTTGATGAGAGATTGAAATTAGCAAGTTGAAAATATATATGTATATATAGAACGTTAAGCAACTTGACGATGATGTATGGCTTCTGAGGGAACCCATATAATATAAATAAAGAAATAATAATAAAGGAGATGATATGCTTTGGCTTAGTCTTATAGAAAAGCAGGCCGTGGTGATGCATATTGATCAAAATTCAAAACTGCTCATACGTAGTACCTAAACAATATACTGGTCGTTTCTGTTTCTAGATGGATGCTTTCTTCCTTTTTAGACTAAACATTTAAAACTTTATAACATATAAATAATGCTATCTTTATAATATTTAATAATATCTTTATAATGTTTATTTTTTGAGGCTGCAAAAATATTTCTGCACATAATTGTATGCTTCTAGTGAATTGAAGATTCCTGTGACGTGTTTGATTCCCACATCGAGTACTGATTTGGCCAGCTTTAATATCTTCCAGTTTTGACTTTATTCAGCTTCCTTCTCCCGTGGCGGAAAAAACGTTGAAGGTTACAAATGTAAGCACCACTTTTAAAGAAAATCAAAGAGAAGCTTCTGTTAATTAAGACTATTTAATTTGGATTTTTAATTTTAATTTAGTCAATGTAATATATATTTGTTTTACTTATTAATAGGTTTTAAGGAAAATATCACTTTGTACTTATGAAAACATAAAAATAGAACATCTAAAATTCCATTTCAGACATTGAAAATAATGACAGAAGGTTAATAATGTCATTTTCCATGATATATTAACATAAACAAAAAAAAAAAAAAAATTTAATTTTTAAGCCATACATAGGAAAATGATAATATCAGCCTAATATTATTTATTTTATTATTTCAATAAAATAAAACGTGACCCTTATTGATAATATAACGCATTCTTTTTTCTTTTTCTTTTTACATTTATTTTCTTGTTTAAAACTTTAAACTCATCAATTTTTTTCAAATTAAAATTAGTCTGTTAAACTCCCGTCAAACACTCTATTGAAAAACTCAAGAAAGAACTTTTTAACCACAGTATAATACTTCTGTCTTAATTCCAAATGAAAGCGAAAAGGCTTATATATATATATTGCTTTGACCATCTAAATTTTATTAAATATAATTTATGTATTAAAAAAAAAAAAACCTTTTCAAAAATCCTTTTTATGATGAAACCTCTGTTCAATGAGAAGTGACTACAATTGGCGTCTAATATTTGTGATCTGCCACGTGGGCGTTTCTAGAGTGATGTGATCTCAGCTTTCAGGGTGAGCAGTCCAAGCCGTCTGATTTTTATCTAGAATTAACCAATGAGTCAAAATTTCTGGTTATTTATTTATTATTTTCTCCCAATTGATTTAATTTTTAAATACTTGTAAAATAAGCTTATAGTCACATATTCCGCAAAAGAAAAAAAGCATATATGTACTAGTAACTAAACCAATGTGAAATTCTCAATTTTATATATGCCATGTGGTTTGATTACATAATGTTAAATACATGTTGAAAAATATATTTCTTTAAATTAAGTTGACATACTGGACTAACGACTTTCCCCTTAATCCTCTCAATGAAATTATTTGTTATTTGAGATGAGTAAGACGTGGCATTAATGTTTTAATAATGACAAAATGTACAAAACTATTAGTCCTTAATTAGTATTTTCATTGAACTACAATACCTAGACAAATGACGCGTTTAATTCAAGGAATATTGTATTATTAGGAATGATATATTAAATGTGTTTAATTAAATTAGAATAAATTGATGAGCATATTATATAGATTACTGAATCACCATTCTTTTGTAATATTATTATATTGTTATTATTATTTGGAATATTTTTTAACCCCTTGCGTTGAGATCTTGCTAAAATACCCCAACCACATCAAAAGTTTAAATTTTAATAAAAATACCCCCACCTACCCAAGCCATTGCCGGCCACAGCCGCCACCACTACCATCGATCGTGGCCTGAATGGCGCACGACCAAACGGGTCAGCCGACGGTGGTAGACGGTAGTCCTCTTGGGTTGCTGAGGTGTCATGGTAGGGTTCATGTAAATTGTTTTCAAAATACGGATATCATTGTCCAAAAATTGTATTACTTAGGGGTAAAATTGTAATAGCAGGGTTCATGTAAATTGTTTCCAAAACGAGGGCATTACTGTCTAAAATTTTTATTAATTAAGGATAAAATTGTAACAAAATTAAGATTACCAAGTAATCTTAGAATACTTAAGAAAATTGTGGTATTCTGATTACCACCTATATAACCAATAGTGATTATTATTGGTATTGGAGGATCGGCAAAATCTTTTATTATTTGACAATCAAACATGGTAATGTCAGTAATATAAATAACATTATGAGAGTAGTGGGGGATAACCTCCAACAAACGCACCTTAATTGTAAGTTGTGTTTTTTAAATTTGACGTTCAATAATATTATAAAATATGATATTTTTTTTATAACAATTTCTCTTTAAATAAAAATTCCATCTCAATAATGTCACTTACAAGATGTTAAGTATGTTTAGCTTTCATAATTTAAGATTTTGTTGTTTTCCATTACTTGAGGAAAAAATAAAATCTATGTGAGTGGAATATATATATAGACTTGGGCAAGGCTCGGTCCCAACTGGGCCCGAGACTGGGCCTCGAAGGATTGGTCCCAAAACGGGATCGGTCCTTCAAGGACTGCATTGATGAGTGATAAAATGATATATATATTTCGTGATTTTATGGGTAGATTGTAGGGAATTCGTGACTTTAATGGATTATTTTTATTCAAGTTTCTTTACATATTTCTATTTGCAAGAATCACGAGTATGTGTATGATATTCAGGTTTTTAGGCGAAAAAAGTGATGAATTTATGCTCACACGATGGTTGGAGGCTTTGTACATGCTAAAGGGGAAAAAAAAAAGGATCTTGAAACAGAAGAAAGGAAGTTAATTTGCTGGATGGCATCGCAGCATGGTTTTTATGCGTCGTGGCATGGTTTTTCTGCGCCACGGCATGAGTTTTCTGTGCCGTGGCATGAGAAGATGAATTTGGATTGAAAGTTCATGCCGCAGTGTGACAAAGTTTTATGTTTGCGGAAGAATTTGGCGCCAGAAAATCACACCGTGGCGTGGATCGCAAGAAAAATAAAAACCTCACCTTTTCCAACTCCGACTTGAACTTGTATTTTCCCAAAAATACCCCTAGCAAAGGAAAAGTATAAATAAGACTTTGTAATTTATTTTAGGGATACTTTTTTACCTAAATTGAGAGTTACTTTTTATCAAGAAAGAGAAGGAGATTCTTCCTAGGGTTTGGCTTATTCATGCTTTTGGGGGAATTTTAGGTTTGCTCTCTTTAATGTCAATGTGTAACTAAACTCTTATTTAGCGATGCAATGTAGCCTAATCGGAAGGCTCTATGTTTAAACATATATTTATTGTTATCAATTCAATGAAAATCTGGATTCATTCATGTATTTATTCTGCCTTTAATTTTCATTATTGTGTGACGACACTTAGTGTGAATTAGTAGGTTGTTTGTGTTGAAGTTATTGAATGAATGATTAGTATTTTGTGCATATGCCTTGACAAAATATTAGTTGGTTCATGATATCTTGAATAATTAGTGTATGTGCATACGCTCTGACAGATGCGCCTTTGTTCTTGATTTTGAGTATTCTTGTGTTTAATGGGTTTTTAATTCATAGGTTAAACTATACGCCTTAGTTAGTCTTGTGTTAAAAATACTAAGTTAATCCCAAACGCCTTACGGTAATACCTTGATTTAGTGAATGTGAACCCTAAAGACTGAATTGATAAACAATAGAGAGATATTTGACATAGAGCTGGATAATTATGGTGAAATTGGAGCTCTAGGTTTTGGTCAATTGGGTTTTAGATAATTTTAGTAGTTGTTTAATTTTAGTTTTATTCAGTTGTTGCTTTTAAAGTGATCTTCCTTAATTCTTCAGTATTAAGTCTTGTTTTAAGTTTTAATTGAACCGTAGTTATTAGGATTAGTAAGTTGCTTACAAATCTCTGTGGGATCGACCCTTGCTTTTGCACACTAGACAACGAGAGCGATTCATGCACTTGCAAGGTTACAAAATTGTTCATCAAGGTATCTCATGGGCCGAGGACCGTCTTAGGCCCATGAGAAATATCAAGGCCTAGAATGGTCCCTAGGACTAGTCCTAAGCCCATAGGATCAGTCTTGGGACCGGTCCCATGGGCCTGGAAAGTTCCTGATACCCCCCTCCCCAATTTTTTATATATTTGGGGCTAAATTGAAAATATGTAGGACCATAGGGGGATTTATGTAATTTTTAGGGGTGATTTGTAATTTTTTTAATTAATTAGTAAATAAATAAATAAATATAAAATAATGGTTAATTGGTTATAAATTTAGGGTGTTTTTAATTTAAACTTTAAAGAAATAATTTAATTTTAACATAAATATAATATCCACACAATCACACTTCATAAATAAACAATTAAATAATTTTTTTTAATTAAATTAATTTACATCGTCCAAATCTATGTTTCTGAAGAGGTTGAGTAGTTCGGGATCTTTAAAGTGTTGTTGTAGTCTTTTGTCTACATGAGTTCAATCCCGTAGACATGTTATGACTTCTATCTCATTGGTTAAAAAGTATCTTCTGTCTTCAACAATGCGACTAATTGAGAAGGCTGACTCGGATGCAATTGTCGAACTGACACAAATAAAATATCACGTGCCATTTGGGCTACAATTGGGAATCGACTTGCATTTTGGCTCCACTATTGAAGCAGATCCATCTCACATTTCTCCTTCTTCATCATGTAAAGCATGTCCATTTGTAGGTACCGATGTAGCTCATTCGGTCCATGTTTGTATGAGTTGGAGCTGCTACTTCCGTCATGTTCCATATACGTCCATATGCTCGATCCTTATTGATAAATGTCTTCATTAGGGTCCTGGTCATCTTTGTTGCCGCTGGTCATTCCTTTGTACCTAGTCTCATACAAAGAAAAAAGGATTTTCAATTTTCTGTTAAAGTCTATCAAATAAGAACTATAGTCATAATCTAAATGCTGGTCTATCTTAGTAACCATACATTTAAATGCGTGTAATTTAAACCTATGATCTACAATAAGACCTAATCCATATAAGAATGGAATATTTAACCAATATTTTTGGTATTTTTTTTTTCATTTTTAGAACAATGTCGCTTATATCTTCATCATATCTATGTTTAGCAAAAGTTTTAGAAATTTGAAGTAAAATATCTAATGCTGCATTAGTAGTAGGATAATAAATATCATTTAATGTATTAGTAGAATCGTAAAAAACTTTAAGAAATAAATGCAAAACATTGCAAACCGTCCAATCCTAATTGTTGACAACTTTGTCCGGATAGTTCTTCGAGTTGACGAAATTTGTAATTTGTCTTGCGATTGGCACAACTCTTTGCAACATCAAGTATGTGGAGTTCCAATGGATAGGCATGGCTAAAATTAAAATACTAAGAATGAAATTATATAATGATTAATGAAAAGTAACCAATATAAAATATAAAGTAGAATTAATAGTTATAACCAATATTGAAATACAACTCAAATTATAAAACCAATTTAAGAAAGGACCCTAAAATAAATTAGATTTCTAAGGACCACAAATCATATTAAGAAACTACATTACAAAGAAAATGAATTGAGTAAATTGACTATTCTTTCTGTCTTCAGCTTCTTGGTTATAATTATTGTAATCAGATTACATAATGCTACAGCCAATAGAAGCCATACTCCCAATAGCCAATGCCGTCTCTAATGTTTGAAAGGCATTCCACCATCCTATCTGAAATTTAAATTAATTTGAAACTTATATATATATATAATTTAGATGCCTCTTCTAATTATGGAAATATAAATTTTTTAATGGCAATCTATATAATTACCATATCATTCACCTATTTAATTAAATATTTATTAATCAATCTCTTTTACAAATTTATTCATTCACTTTCTGACTCATCAATTTATATATATATATGTATATTATTATTCATAATTGAATATAAAATATAAGTCAAATTGTGTTGTGAATATTAAATATATGTCTTACCTTTAATTAATTATCTTATCAGATATTTAGATAAATATATAACTAAGAATTTGTAATCAACCACTAATTTGGAGAAAAGAAAGAGAAAGTTACCTTTGCAGGTTCAGGTTGAGCGAGAATAAGAGGCTGAGGTATGCATGGCTACATCATAAGCACAATTTTTATCACATGAATGAGAAACAATATTTTAAAATGTTCATTCAAATTGAGAATATCAGCAAAACTAGCATGGAGTTGATTGAATCAACAAATAAAGTAATAAAGAACTAAAAGCAAAATTAATTAAGAGTAAAACTTCGTCAATGATGTTATTAGAAATATTTGTATTTTTTTATATTAAAGGTTGGATAAAATACAAATATATCTTTCTATATACAGACGGAAATTTTGAAATTCTTTAAAAAACGTCTCCCCTGAAATTACAAAAAAACAAAAAAAAAAAAAAAATCCTTAAAATCATCATACAAATACCTTGAAATTTTACTAAATTAATTTGTTTAATTTTCATATTTTTCTTGTATAAAAATTTTATATTAATTGATCAAATCTAGAGAAGTTGCATTTTTTTAATTTGATTCTTTCTTCTTTTTCCGATCTATTAAAACAAAATGAATTAGAAAATCATAGATTGCTTACGGGATTCATGTTTGTTGTGCCCATGGAAGGCCCTCTTCTCGACCTGAGCAAAACGTAACTATCCAAGAATTGCGTGTGGCGGTGGCGAAACGTTCGCCGGCGGTAACAAGTGGAGCAAAGATCGAAGGCATCGCCAGGACGATCAAAACATATAACACATGTAAAATACAGCCCTTTCAGGCACGCTCGGCACTCGCTGCAACAAACGGTACGAGTCTTTACCATATAATACAAAGTGAGAACCTCCCAGAAATCCAGGCTACCATCACGGTTGCGGTCGAGTTCAGTGAAGAAACTGGGATGAATCCATTGATAGCCTCGTTGTTGAAGGAATTGAACGAACTCGATCAGGCTTACCCTGCCATCTCCATCCGTGTCCATTGATTTGAAGAAGTTCCATGCCAGAAGTTGAAGGTTTTTTGACCCGTTGTTGTAATAAGCTATTGAGGCTTCACGTAATTCCTCCACTGTTGGGTTGGAAGTTCTGAATGTCTGTTTATCTAAAGCTAGAAATGTTTAATCTTTCCAGAGTTGGAAACAGTCTACTTGACACGACTTGGAATTATTTAATGGGTTAGTTTCGTGAGTGTTTGATGCTAACATTAATAGATAATTTAGTGTACAGTCTGGAAGCTAGAAATTGGTAGTTCATCCAAATATTTATTTATTCTTTTTATTTTATTTTATTTTATTTTATTTTACTCTAAACTAAAATCTGCCCACATCATCGCACAGCACTCTACCTGCAGCAAGCCTCGTCGCGAACAGCCACCATCCTAACCGCCACAGGCCTCAATGACAAACCACCCACTGGCTGAACCCCCACCCCTATCTCGCCGCCCCGCCGACTGCAACCCCATCACAGCCCCACAAGGCTCGCTGCCAGCAACCCCACAAGCTTTGTCTATGGAAACTAATACTTCGTCTCAATCCTCACCATCTTTCAGGTTCTTTAATTCTTTCTTTCTCCTGTTTTCGATGATTTTAATGAAGGAAGTAAAAACCACTAAATGAAATGGTGGTGTGGGTTTATTGAATTTGTTGCTGTTGAAATTGATTAGCTTCTGCATGTCATCATCATTTCAAATGTTGGAAACACAGCGACTTTAACAATGCTTTGAAGGCCTTTGTATGAAGGACTTTTTAAAAAGGCTTAATTGAGATTATGTGATTTGTTGCAACATGGTTTGATGTTAGAAAAAGGAAACATTTACTTTTGGTAAAAAGAAATAGAAATTTTTTATTTTCTTATATTTTAGAGCAGGAAATATCAGCTTTCCCCTGGGGACCTTTATATGATAGCAGACTAGCAGTTGATTGAAGTGTTTGTATTACTGAAGTGCTATTTTTCCACTTACGTAATTAAATTTGCCAGATAAGTAGTTAAATATCTCATAATATGGAACCGGATTTGTATTAAATATTAATGCAGTGCCATTTCTCCGGTTACGTAATTAAACTTCCCAGCCGCCTTTGTCAGCAGCCTTTCAACATTATCAGGAACCAAACACACAGTGATTTACTTATTTATATTCCCCAAATAAAAGCAAAACTAACATAATCTCACAATAAACAAAAACCAAAATCTCTTGCAGTAAGTAAATATGGCTTCCTTTTCAGTTTTTTCAACTCCAACTTCTTCGTTCTTTAACAAGGTTGAATCAATTACATTCGCAAAATATCCACTTGAGCTCATTTCTCAATATCCAATATTTCCTTTTTTTTTTTTTTTTTTTTTACTATTATTATTAAAAAATTTGATTGATTATATTTTTACTATGACATCTAATTAGAAATTTGTATTACTTTTTGTTCCTAATAGAAAGGATCCTGGTTGGTTTAGGTTCTCTTCAACTTCACAATTATCTGTTCACAAATGCAAGAACTCCAAGAAAATTGTATCGGTNAATAGAGCAATTCAATTAGACAAAATCGATTCAATTATGTCTCCTAAGGATAAACTCTTATTATTTGAATATTCTATTTTTAATATAACACAATTTAAAATAAAATACATCTAATAAGATTTTATTATATATCTATCTTATACAAAGTTTTTTCATAATGAAGCTATAAGTTTTTCATTTGGAAAGACTTTTTTAAAGAAAACTGTTATGCCTAAAAAATCAAGGCTAACATAAGCTTACATCAGTGAGCACCAATCAGAGTTCAAGAAGGTTTTACGCCACCTAGAATCTGCCACGTTGCCCCAAGACAAAAAGATTATGGTTGTCACCAACCCAATAAGATCAAGTTTTATCTATGAATGAATGTGGTCCACGCAGCTATCCAAGCCCCACATAATTTAAAAATATTTCATAAGTTATCAGCCAATGGGAACCAAGGAAGGACTTGCACAGCACCTACCAACTTGTAGACTTGTAATCATTACCTTGAAATCAGCGGCTATAAATAGAGGACTCCCCTTCACGAAATCGTGATGCATGAATGAATGATTAGATTCTCTGACTTCAACAAAACAAATAGCAAAGACAACCTACGGAAAAGAGACTGGCTTAGTATTCTCACTGAATACCAAGCCCCTGTAATCCTGTTTGCAACTCGTGACCTCTTGTAACTTGGCTAATAACTAAGAACACTCATATAAAAGAAAACAGTGGATGTAGGAATCGCTTTAAGCATCTGAACCACTATAAAAATTCTCACTGTCTCATTTATTATTTAGTCTTTGCATGCAACTGTAACATTAACCTAAATCTCATATTAAACACGTGTAATTTCTAAAACTTGCTTAGCACTTTGCACATGCGAGGTCGTTGGTGTCAAAATCACGTATCAACAGTTTGGCGCTAGAAGGAGGGCAAGATTTCACATCAACTCTTTATCCTGTATTCTCAACTGACTAATCAGTTTTACCACACAACTCAAGGCTCATGGTCTTGAAACCGAGCATGCTAGCACCAATAACGAGGAGATTCCCCGCATTCAGGAGACTACTCCTCCTGAAGTAGCTCCACCTCCCTAGAGTATTGTGGTGGGCATCCCCTCGACTTCCCAGGCAGACCCTGTTTTGATCAACTACCTGGAGAAGTTTGACAACACCCTCCAAACGATGAGACAAAGGCTAGATCGTTTGGATTAGGTCGTGCCACCAAATTCTGACAAGGCAGTACCACCTCCAAAAACGCTTGTAGGTCGCGCTAAAGCGTTAAAAAAAAAAAAAAGCAAAAGCTCATACCACGTGCACTATTGCACATAAAGACAAGGGAAAGCAAGTGGCCAAACATGGGCAAAAAAGCTCTAAAAGGCAAGCGAATACTAGTCACGAGCTAAGAAGAAAACCTGTGGCCCTACGACTTGGCAACATATTGAATTAAGAGCTGTCCCTTGCCACATCGCAATGGCACCCCACAAGAGTACTCGGCAGGAAGATTCCCACCATCGCTGGAATGATGGTCCCGACCATTACCGCGAGAGAGGTGCCCACATCAGCAGGTCAGTTCTGACCACCACAGAGGTAGGGAAAACTCCCAAGCCATTCAGTGCCTTCACAAGGCTTTGGCTATCATGTGTCAAGGCATGCCGAAGGCTTCTACTAAGGCAAGGAAAGCTCCGACCTATGGTCTTTCCTTAATCGCAATTGTAGGGAGCATACCTACATTGCAGAGAGTGATCCCCAAAGGGTTCCACTTCCTCAAATAGAGGAGTTACAGTGAGCTCTAGATCAGCTAAGAGCTCAGCAAAATGAGTAAGGGTAGGTCGCTAAGGCATCTCCCTTTTCTCCAGAAAGTCTGATTGCTGCTCTCTTGTCAAGATTCAGAGTGCTCGACATAAAGGCATTTGATGGGAATCCTTATTCACATGATCACTGCTATGAGTTTAACAACCTCATGGAGCTTCACCAAGTTTCCAACTTGGCAAAATGTCTCTACTTAACAGTGACTCTAACTGCCCACACTAAGCATTGGTTTAGATCACTTACACCAGGGTCTATCAACTCGTGGCAACAGATGAGCTTGTTGTTCTTGAGACACTTCTAGGCCAATTGAAAGTTCTCAATGTCGTTAAGTTACCTCAGCAACATATGGAAAGAGAAGAATGAGTCTTTCTAGTCCTACATTGTCAGATTTCACAGAGAACTAAACAAGGTGGCTAATACACTCGAGGATTCAATTCGCACTCTGATTATTACCGGAGTTTTCCGCAAACCAACCTGTGGAAGAAACTGCAATCTGAGGACAATATTTCCCTCACTCACTTCTATAATCTGACAGAGAAGTATACGGATAGAAAACTCAGTGGCAGCTTTAAATCGTCATGACCCCAACCTTCGACCAGTGCTCCCAGTCGGAGGGAGGAATACCTGGGAGAGAGAAGTAGAAGATCTTATCGTAAATGGGCTAATGGAGATCAGAGGAAGGGAAAGAAACAACGTTTTGAACCCAAGAAATCCTATGCTCCAGTTCCTCATCGCTATCGTGACCGTGATAATTTTACTCCACTCAATGCATCGGTTTCAACTATTTTGGATAAATCGGAAGAAGCTAATTTGCTCGGAGAGCCAGAGCCCATGAAAAAACCCGCATCTAAAAGGAATGGCAAGAAATATTGTTGTTACCATTAGGATAATGGGCATCACACTGATAAGTATCAAGCTCTTAAGCAAGCAATTGAAGACCTTATTCAAAAGGGTCACTTTAAGGAGTATGTGAATGGTCTATCTCCCATAAGGGAGAAGGATCAGGAAGGTGGCGGGGAAAGGTGCAGAGGTCACAAAGGTCTTTACTTGGTAGGGACTATTTTTGGGGGACCTCATATAGCCGAGAATTCTTGGAATACACAAGAAAAGTATCCCCGAGAAGCTCAGCATGAGCTCTTAAATGTTCTAAATTTGGAACTGTAACGTAGCAAGGTGCGTAGAGAAGAGGAGATTACCTTATCTGAGAAAGATGCGAAACGAGTGTACCACCCTCATGAGGATGCACTGGTTGTCATGGCTGAGATAGGAAGGTGCGAAGTCCACAGAATGTTGGTGGACAATGGGAGAGTCGTAAATATCCTATTTTAGTAGGCTTTTAAGGAGATGAAATTGGAAGAGACAAACTTGAAGCCTATGACCACTCCTCTTTATGGTTTTACAAGGGACCATCTTACTCCCTAAGGAATGATTTCTCTTCCAGTCACCTTAGGAGAATCCCACGAAGTGACTAAATTGACAAAGTTCCTGGTAGTGGATTGTCCTTCGGCATTTAATGGCATCCTTGGACAACCTCTACTATGGAATTTCAAGGCTATCACCTCAATATACCATCAGAAGATGAAGTTTTCCACTTTGATAGGGTGTGGGGAAGTTAGAGGATCACAACGTGAATCTCGCGAGTGCTATAATAAAGCAGTGCAGATTAGGGGTGTTCGGTTCTGGGTACCCTGCACTTTTTAAAGGAACCAGAACCAGAACCAGAACTGGAATCGGAACTGACGGTTTCTTGAAATTTGGAACTAGAACCGGAAGTGACGGTTCCGGTTCCTAAGTACCCAGAACCAGAACTTGTAACAATGGTTTCGGTTCTGGTTCTAGGTACCCTGTAAAATTACATGACCCCCCAAATGTTTTAAAAAGTGGCAAAAAAAACCCTTAAAAACTTACAAATACCCCCCCACCTGGCACTTGTTAACAAAAATAAAATTACAAATTATAAATTACAAACTCCATTACTTTGTAAAGGTAGATTCTCAAAAGTCAAACCAACTTACTTTAAACGTTATGAAATATAAATATAAATGTATTCACATAACTTTTTCTACAAAAAGTTTTTATTAACCCCCCTAATCTTTAATTTTATTTTATATTAGTCTCGGTTCCTGGTTCCTGGTTTCGGTTCCGGTTCCGGTTCCAGTT